AATGGTGCCTGTAACACTGTTTGGGTAATGTGATTAGGCACTTAAAGTCTTGGTTTTACACTGCTTGGCCAGTGTTGGTTTTGAATTTTTGTGCCATTAAAATGTTTTCAAAGGTCATAATTTGACCATAGTATAATAATGCAGCATCCAGCTCTAAAGTCCTTTATTTTTAGTCTCCTTTTTAAAATGTGCATTTTTGTGTCTTAGTGCACATAACACATTAATACAACAACACACATTTATATAACTTAAAATGAAAAACAATATTTGGAAGCTGTTAAACTTTTATTTTCCACTTTTTGCTGTTTGGGTTGAAGTGAGAGCCTACGTGAATGTAGAGTCCTTCAGTATATCTAAGTAAGCTCAGTAGTAAGCTGCTGTGATTCTACTGTATTATGGATTTAGCCATATTTTAAGGAATAATTTTGAGAATTAAAACAACGTGACAGTTTCTTGCAATAGTTAAGCACCATTATAGTGTTGATGCTTGCATGTTACTGTCGCCTCACCTCCATGTGTATTGTATTAAACAACAAAGGGGTTTGGTGTTCTTCAGTGATTTGAAAAACTCTTCTAAAGATCTTCAAAAGCACTTTGAAGAAGACTGTTAAACAAATCTATAGTGAACTCCTACAGCAAAGATTCACCTTCCAGTGAGTTTTGGGTGAAGCAGCTGTTGCGGGACTCGGAAGAGCTTGGGTTGAAGCACTGGAGCTGAGCTGAGCTGAGCCTCACAGAACTTTCAAGTCCTGGAGCTCCTCTGAGGTGGTCATGAAGTGCTTCTCTTTGTCTTCTCAGGGGCCCGGTTTGATGATGGTGCTGGCGGTGACAATGAAGTGCAGAGAACAATGTTGGAACTGATCAATCAGCTGGATGGCTTTGACCCTCGAGGCAACATTAAGGTACTGATGGCCACTAACAGACCTGATACCTTGGATCCAGCGCTGATGAGGCCAGGGAGATTGGATAGAAAGATTGAATTCAGCTTGCCTGATTTAGAGGTAAGAAAATCATGTTGTTTTAGAAGAGATTTTTGAACTTTTTCTTTCCTGTGATATTTTTACATTTTAATATCTGTCAATTCCTTCATTTTTAGGGTCGGACTCACATCTTTAAGATTCATGCTCGTTCAATGAGTGTTGAAAGAGATATCCGATTTGAATTGTTAGCCCGACTGTGTCCAAATAGCACTGGTGAGTGGAAAGATCTTGCTTATTTTGCTGGTCTGTCTGTTTGGACCCATTTAATTAATCCTATTTATTTTCTTTTTGTTTGACAGGTGCTGAAATTAGAAGTGTCTGCACAGAAGCTGGTATGTTTGCAATCCGAGCACGGCGAAAAATTGCAACTGAGAAGGATTTCTTGGAAGCTGTAAATAAGGTCATTAAGTCTTATGCCAAATTCAGTGCTACTCCCCGCTACATGACATACAACTGAGCCCCAGAGGCTTTCAAATGAAAACACTTTGTTTGGATCCTGAGCTTACATTGATTTGTTAACAACCGCCTCACAAAAATAAATGTTTCACAATTGTGTGGTTCTTCCAGATCTCTTTTCTCTGTAGTATGAGGTGATATTTATTAGACAGAAAAGCTTGTTACAATTTATGTTGACTGGTTTTTGATTGGATACCATTTAAAGGTTTCATATCATAGAAAGTGCTTCCTCAGTCACGTGTATTCTAGGCCTGTGCTGGCTGTGTGCCACACGTGTGTTATCTCACTGTACCTTTCTGTCTTCCCAGGGAAGATGATCAAGCCATTCTTAATAATGCAGTTTCCCTACTTAACTTTCTTGTAGTGTCAGGGCTGGGATTCAAGTCCAAGTGTGTTCGCTCCACTAGCTGTGCTTTTGTTAGGCCCCTCTGCCCCCATGAAAACAGCTCACCCCAAGTGTTAGAGCATGTGCACTGCTGGAGTTTCCCCCACCATGTTGAGTGATCAAGGTTTGGCCAAACCTTTAAAGTCAAAGAAGAATTTGATGCATTTTGCTTGCCACTTGACTGCCTAAATTAATCAAGAATAGGTGATTTTAACCCGAGTTCAATCCCCGGTACCAAAAAAAAAGAATAAGTGATTTTAATGAAAAGTGAAGGTAAAACAGTCGGTAAAGCAGAAAGAAAAATGTACACATGGTAACTTAGAAAACCTAGAGTTGGCTTAATGTTGAGAAGTGATTATTTCCATCTCATAAATTAGTAGTTTAAAATTTTGGTAAAGCTCCTATTCTACTTAGCCACAGTGAGGTATTTTGAAAATAAAGGTTGTATTAGAATCCTCAACAGATTTGTTTAAAATTTTTTCTTGTATACCACCAAATCTCCTTGTATACCACAATTGGTCCCAACCACCCCAAATACTGAGATTAAAGCACAATAACCAATATTTTTATTGAAATTATATATTCATAAATAAATGGCAAAACAGTGAAAACTGAATAAATTTTTAAGCCACAGAAGGAAAAGTTGACAGCATAGAAAATGCCATTACATGGAAATAATTTTAATTTTATAAAAGTTTTCACGTAGAAAAATTGAAGCCCTTCATTCATAAAATCCAACCAATATTCTTTATTCTTTAATTTTTGATCAGAAAAATTCTTTTTCTAAGTCTGCCCTAGTCTTTCTTGAGTGAAATAGAGCAAACTACTTCTAACTTACAATAAAATACTCAGATGAATGACTGAGATGTATGTTTTAGAATGTTTTGTTTAAATAAAGGAGCATCTAGAACACACTCCGGAGTTTTCCCCTTTTCATATAGCTGCACCTCATGCGCAGCAAGGTAGCTCAGACTGGGCCTGTTGAGCTCACAAGGGCCAAACGTGGTGAGAACTGAGTAGTGCTGACATTTCAGAATGCAGTGGAAATCTTAAGTATGCTGCATATTAATGACACATTGAATTAGTTAAAAAATATGTATTTCTGTCTAGGCATAATTGTACAGATAGAATCAGTGCTATCTAGATTAGCATGTTTGTATCCTATTTAAAAAGATAAAAGAGGGTGAGGATGTAGCTGAGTGATGGCGTGCCTGCTGGCAAGAGCAAGGTCTTGATTTTGCTCCCCAGTACCGGAAAAACAACAAAAAAGATAAAAGAATACATCTACTGTTAACTCCCCGCCTAAAGAATACATGGGTATATGCACGTACAGATGGTCCTCATGGTTTCCAAAGTGATACCCATTTAGCAGAAACCATACATTGAATTTTGATGTTTTCCTGGGCTGGCAGTAAGTATGCAACCAGGTAACCATGAGGAATAACATACTCCACAGTGTTTTGTTTGGTAGGTTAAGTGTATTAAATGCTTATTAATGTATAATATTCTGTCATGGGTTCATCACCATGTGACTCCATCAGCTGACGAACATCTGTATGTTTTGATGCATATAGATAGATAGATAATAGATATAATCTCCATGCACACATACAAATATATCAGGGTGCAAAGGGGTTATGACTGGAAAAATCATACTGCTGAGTTTCCTTAAAAAATACTTTTAGTATATGTGCTGCCAAAGCGAGCACTTTAAAAAATACTTTTAAAAAAACTAGTTAGATTTAGCTGGGCATGGCACACGCCTGTGATCCCAGCACTTGGGAGGCTGAGGCAGGAAGATTGCCACAAGTTTGAGGCCAGCCTGGGCTACATAGTAAGTTCAAGACCAGCCTAAACTATACAATGAGACCCTGTCTCAAAAAAAAAGATTAGATTTATAAAAAAATTTAATTTCCATGATGCTTCTCAATTTCATCTATTACATAAAGTGCAATAAAAACTGGTAAGCCTCTTCTTTAAGGAAAGACAGGTTTTTAAGATGCTCAAACTTGATTCAATCCAAGTCAGAAAGCAGACATGTTACCTAGCACAGTAGTAGTAACATCTGAGCATTTTGTTGCTGGGATTTGAGGGGTTTCAAAAGTATTGCATGAATTTTGGTTGGCTATATAGAGAATTAGATAACACTTATCAACTCTCAAGCTTTCATAAGCACTCAAAACATTATTAAGACTAAACTTACTGAATCCTAAAAGCATTCCCAAAAGGTGCACTAAAAAAGACCAATATTTTACACTCATAAAAGCATACAGGCTCACACCAAGAAAGTTGCTTCCTTTTAGAATTGAAACTGAGTTACTATTTTTAAAGGGTAGGAGTAACAGATAAAAGCCTTCCCCACCACATACCTACCCCTCCCTCCCCCATCCCCACACAAGGGCACACCCCCCACCCCCCAACACACAAAAACACACCTACCCACTCCAGGGCAGACTCTGAGTTAACTACCCTTTCTTCATACACAGGGCAGGCTTATTTTCTCAAAATACACACTTGAAGGTAAGTACCTCTTTTCTCTGCTAAACAGGATACAGGATCAAACAACATGGAATAGGTATCTTACACATTATCTGAAAACTACAAAATGAGCTATTCCCAGGGCTTGAAGATCCAGCTCTTCACTTCTGGGTTCCACTCCAGATGAGACACGATTGGGAGCCCACTATCAGCTACCTGGTGCTTACATGAGTCAGTGTCTACAGAGTGGAGTTTCCTTGGCCCAGCCTGCAGCTGTTTTCAAATACATGCCATTTATCCATGAGGCAGAGAGCAGCCACTATCATACTGTGCAGGATTTGATGGAAGACAAAGGACTTCTCTTTGTAAGACCCTCCCCATATTGCCATAAAATAAGACTAGTCTAGGCTCTGTATCAGCATGGATTATGCCCATTTTGATAGGGCAGTATGGCTCTGAATTTGAATCAGGGCTGAAAAGCATAGTGAGGCGTGCACTAGCAGCTATTAAGGGTCAGAAGGAACAAGCTGGGCTTATACATAATTCCTTGAAAGATAAAGATTATAAGACAAAAGATGGTCAGGAAAAGTTCTACTATGAAATCTGAAACATTCAGACATATTTACATTGATGAAGTTGTTTTTTAAACATACTCTTACATTCTCAGATGCATCGTAAAACAAAAATATACCCACCTTCAGAAAGATTTAAGTGCTTTTTATGTACATAATAGCATTCTATTCAAAACAGGTTAAAATTAACAGAAAAGTAAAATATAAAATGTAAGCTGTAGACAAATCCTTTTTTTGTACCTTATCAGCTACTAGGACTTGAATGTCTACTGTGCAAAAGGTATTTGTTAAAGACTGGTACTAAAGAATATTCAGTGAAGCATTTTATATTCTAGTTAAATGGCTGAAATGATCTGGGCCCTTTTATGCAAGTTTCTAGTATAAGCTAAAGTTCTGGAACTACATGCTCTTTCAGAAGGCAGTCTGTGTCAGAATGCAGATGTATCTGATCTTGTGCATGATGATCATAGAATAACCAGAGGCTAATTTCATTCTAGCTTGAGATAAAGAATTGATTAGAGGCTGGGGATTTAGCTCAGTGTTTCCACCGCCTGCCTCGCAAGCTAAGGACCTGAGTTCGATCCCCTGTACCAAAAAAAAAAAAAAAGAATTGATTAGAAAGGAAAGGTTTACTTTGAATCAAATTATTAAAGTCCCTGGAAAATCTAATGTACTATGCTAACAATTCTATTAGGATCTGACCACTTTCTCTAGCAGAATCTTCTTTATGAAAACTGAAAGAGTCAAGAAAATAGTTAATGACAAACAGGGCAGAAGACAGCAGGAACTCTTAGCAGAGGGAGCTTCAAACAGGCTGGCTAATGCCTGGATTTTGATTTACTGTGAGATGATAAGATACTAGAAGAGCAGGACTGCTAATGACAAATTGGCTTCAAGGCCCTTCCCCACAACCTCTGAACACTTCAAATTTCTGTGTCAACTATAAACAATTGAGAAATATTTTCTTCAGAGGCTAAAAACAGTTTGATGACTCATTAACTGATAATTGTGAACTTTTAAGGATGGCATGAAACTATACCTGGGCATTAGCTTTCTTAAAATCCATGGTCTTTAATGCTACTCCACTATTAGCAACAGCAAAGTTTATAGGGATTCCTACTGGCTACAGCTGTGATAATTTGAGCATCAAAAAGACTATGATGGGGTGAAAACATTAAAACTATAAAATTTAATGGGACTAAAATTATAATCACAAGTGAGAAATCTACCCAAAACCCCCACCCTAATTTGTCACTATCAAAACCAATTTCTTACTTTGAATTTGATAAATAAATGGAAATAAAGCATTCAACCAGCTGTTCCAGTAAGAACTCTATTTTTACATTTTCTAGTTTAGTGGCTAATGGTGAAAGTGAACATTCATTTAATGCCAGAGAAATAGTTATAAGGATAACTGTTCCCACAAAGGGGAAAACCAACTGGAAGTTCAGATGATTATACTAATCCAGTGATCTATCTTAATACTGTTAATGGTAGGTACACTAGATATTATGTATTTTTGATACGATGCAATAGGAAGCATGATATGGTATCTCTTAATAAAATGTTTAACTCAAATTCATGAGCCTTTGGATATAACTTCCAGATTGCAGGTAGAGAATAGAGGAACAAGCTAAACAACACCATGAGAAAGTAACTAGACAAATTCACAAGATGAGATTCTATAAAACAACAATCCCAATCTTTAATAAGTAAATGTCAGCAGTGTGTGGTGGTACATACCTATAATCCCAGCACTCTGGGAGGCTGATCAGAAGGATCACAAGTTCAAGCCCAGCCTAGGCAACTTAGTAACTCAGTAAAAAAAGGGCTGGGGAGGTAGCTTAGAGTGAAGGCCCAGGGTTCAATCCCCAGTACTGGGGGGAAAATAAAGTCAGGAACTGTTAGATTAAAATAGACTTATGGACTTAAAGGGACATGACCAATAGGTACAATGGAAGGTCACAGAATGAATACGGATTTGGGCAAACCAACTGCAAATTTAGGGACAATTGGATAAATGTGAGTACAGTCTGAGGTAAAAATGTCCTGGACAAGAAAGTAGAGACTGGTGACTAAAAAAATTGGTTCCAAACACTATATAGATATAGTTTAAAATATAGATGTGTTTAAAGTGTAAAGATATATGATGCATAGGAAAAACATCTGGAAGGATTTGCATTAAGATGTTAACAGGCAGAGGCCAGTGATTTAGTTCAATGGCACCTCATCTGCCTGGCAAGTGCAAGGTCCTGAGTTCGATCCCTGGTACCAAGGGGGGGCGGTGGTTTAAGATGTTAACAGGGGCCAGCTTTGAGTGGTTGAGCATATGTTAATATTTTTTGCCCACCTCTTTTTCCAGTGTGTTCACAATGCACTTATATCTCTTCTATAATAATAAAAGGTTATTGTAAATCAAGAATGTCTAGAAAATTGTGAATTTCCCTCTTCTGTCAGGTGATTGATTATAGACACCTGTAGCCAAACAAGTACAACACCCAGGAACCATCTGCTGATGGCATATCCTGTTTGTAGGTAAAGTACTTCAAGGAAGTAAGATTTTAAGTGCTTGGCTTGCAAAGACAATACTAAAAAGTAACAGAAATGCCACTGCACAATAAGTGCAGGGAAGAGGTCAATTTATCTTTGAAATACTCAATTTTAGAAAACACAAGTAAGATAGATACATCTTGCTGTGCGTCATTCACCCTCCAAATCAAGCCTTGACTACTAGTATTTACCCTTAAGGAAAACCCTAGGCTCTAGTATTTAAAATGTGTAAATTAAGAATTTTCCCAATGATGATCCTGCCCCACCCAAGCTGAGGTCCTCCTTATTCCTCTGGCGTGGCAGGAGTGGCATTGGGCTCCAAATCCTCCTGCAGAGGGGCAGCCGAGGCTTCCTGTTCGGCCAGTGCCTCTCGGAGTTGGCTGCCTAAAACCGCGTCATGGATGCTGTAGAACAGCAGCTCCTTCAAGGCAGGATTTTCAAAAAATCGATTTCGAGTGAGGTCATTCACAACTTGTGCTATAAAAAATAAGAAAAGAAAATTATTCTGCACTCAGGGTTTTGGTCTTGAACATTTTTTTAAAGTAACACTTTCATATAGTTTATTAAAACGCTGTAGTAAAGCCTCACTCCAATGCCTGTCTGCGTCACCCCATGCCCAGTCCCTGGGAGCTACTTTCACGACTTTCTTGGTGTCCTTCCAGGATTTCTCTATGTAAATGTTAGGAAATATAAACATTTCCCCCATGTTCTTACTTACCCTGAGGATAGCACATATATATTACACATACATTGTTCTATATGGTTTTTTAAAACCATTTCATGGTGTTCCATTGCACAGACATACCCTAATTTATTTAACTGGTCCCTTTTGCTTGACACTTTTTTCCAGTTTTTTGATTTTATAGACAATGTTATGATGACCAACTACATACACGTGTTGTTTTGAATGTGTGCAGCATGTTGAGGTTTTGCTGTGTTAAAAGGTCAATGCATTGGGAATTTTGCCAGATAAAGTTGGTCTTCCCTCCACGGGGTGTTGCCCTCTGTCTGCATCCCCATCATTTTTGTCTGAGAGCACCTGCTGTTCCACCAGATGCCTGTGAAGCATGTGTCAGACCTGACAGGTGAAAAGTGATGTCTTTACATAGATTTCATTTTCAAGCACTGTTTTCACTAAAATATAATATAAAGCAAAAATAGCAGGCAAGGTATTGCAGAGCCACTGGCTGAAAAAAAATCGATAGGAATGACCTTATAGAGTGCCAGTGTGTCATGGCAGCCATTGCATAATCAGGAAGGATTTATCAGCTCCTTCCCTTTCTCCAACTCTGGGTCAGAAGGTCAGGACTGGAGCAACCCACTGACAGGAGTGCCGTAAGTGGATCATTTCAAAGCTAGCTTTACAGTGATTTCCAAAAGAATAATCGTCATTTTGATCAAAACATCAAAATTATGCAAAAATTTCCAAATACAATTATTATGAACAAACAAAACTAACTTGTTAAAACTTTTCCCCATCCTTGGGCTGGGGATTTAACTCAGTGGTTTCACCGCCTGCTGTGCAAGAGCAAGGACCCGAGTTCGATCCCAGGTACCCAAAAAAACCCAAAACTTTTCCCCATCCTAAAGGTGTACTCACCACTGCATCCTGCTAAATAGACATAAATACCAACATCTCCGTATTCCTTTACAATCTGCAATAATGTTGAAATATAGTTAGTTTTCCTGATGCTGCCAGACACAAGTCATTCTCTCCCAATATGTATTTAAGGGATGTAAGACCCTCTTAATTCATTCATTGAGCTACTTAGTTCCAATAATTAAACACTTCTGTGGTAATCAGTTGAAAATAACTTTTTATTTCTTTTATTTTTTGGTTTAAAAGTAATAGTGATAACAAGGGGTATAAAAATATTATTAAATTTTGCTTAGGTGTAACAAAGGTAATAGTAATAGGTAATAGTAACGATTTTTTTTTAAAGAATCTTTTTAAAGATGTTTACTGAAATATTTATAGAAGATGTGACCACAGGGGTGTGCTTCAATAAGAAAAAAAGAAAGTGCCTGTTGGTATAAATGAAACAGATTGGCCATAAATTGGTAATTGTTGAAGCTGAATGATAGTTATGTGGGGAGTTACTAGGCTAGGCACTTTACTTTCGCATATTTAAAATGTTTCCATAATCAAAAGTTGAAAAACAACAAAAAAGAACTTTAAGAGTTGAAAAGGGTGCCTAGGCCAACTCCCTTCCGTGACTGACAGGACACTGGGCGCTGACTGACCAACATCAAATGACTCCGTCACAGCGATGCTTACCCCTGCCAGAGTTTTCACGCCAACAGAATCGATGAAATTGACTTGTGTAAAATCCAGAATAACGGTGTGGATGTTATCCCCTGGGGGCATAAATCTCTGCAGTTCTTCAGGAAATGTATTTTTAATGACTATTGGAGGATATTTTACTTCACCATCCTCCTCTTCAGGTTTGGTACCGTCTTGTCCATCTACTTTTGCGTCCTGTATCAAAAATGAAACCAAACCAGAATTCTGTGAAGTCACACTTTCGGTGTGAGAAAGATTTTCATAAAATATCAGCCTTCTATTCTCAAGCTACTGACTATAGCCGATCTCTTTTAAAATATTTGTCATATTCCAGCCTCATAATTTGACAGAAAGGATATGTCTATAATATTTAGGTTTGACTCAGTTTCTTCCTTTGTCATCCGCTCCATTTCCCCCAACTTCTAAAATAGGTCCGTTAACTTCAGTGTGACAAGTCACAAGTTATAAGCCTGATCATCAAAAATCTACCTTTGTACTTTTTTACTGCCAGCTGAATAAATCTATGAGGAAGCAGTAATGGTAAAAATTTTCAAGGTTCTATGTGATTTTTATTTTTTAAACCAAGTTTTCAATACTAATTTCAGAAGCACCCACCTAACTGACCGTACTGCATACTTGCAATGCATCAAGGATACTTAGGTTGTTCCTAAGCTTTCCCACTTTGGTAACTTCCAGCTGTTTAGTTACTGCAGGTCACGAGAGAGGGAAAATGACAATGAAAAGTCCACTCACCGCCTTGACCACAGTGGCGTTGGCCACGTTTGCATTCCCCACTTCCTTAGCGTACTTCCTCATGGCCTTTCTCCTCGCTCCCATGATGCGTGCTGGGTTCACTCGGGTCTTCACAGAAGAGCAAGATACAGAAATCCCTCCATGGCTCCCAGGGACCCACCCGATGCCATTCATCTTCGAATTCCCCCACACGCTTTCCACGGCAGATTATCACCCCACCCCTCCTACCTTTCCCTCAGGTGTCCTGAACTGAGTCACAGCCTAAGACCTAACATGGATACATTGGTAGCTTCTCTCATTCTGTCTTTACTCAAGACAACTAGAAGTGGAAGTAGCAAGGATAATTTTTAGAGTGATATTTATCAAACTTAGATTTCTTGGATTCTTATATCTTAAAGAGATTTTGTGGGCTGATGGGCAGCATGGGATTGAATTTTGATCATCACCAAGGGAACCAACATGATTTCCAAGGTAAAAATATCTAAGATTATTTTTTCACTTTCTTTTATTTGAACAGGGAACAAGTACATATAAGAGAGAATGAGTAGTGGCAATGGTTGCCCAAGAATGTGAATGTCCTTAATGTTACCCACTAGGTTGGATGCTTGAAAATGCTTAAATGGTATATTTTATCACAGGTGTGTGTGTGGGGGGGGGTGAAATAATATAGTAAGGTTCACTGACACATGTACTCCCATCCCTGCCAATCCACAAGTCCCCTCCTCAAAAGGAACCGCTCGTAATTTCTTCCTACTTACCTTTCTTTTTAATGCATTGCTATACAAGTCACTGTTTGCATAGTAAATTGGGGCATTTATTTGGAATATTTTTATTCCAGGGATTTCTTTCACCTGAGAAGTAAAATATTAGTGAATTTAACACGTGGATGTATTTCAGCATCAAAACTGCACTTGCCTCCCTCCTCCAATGTCTAAATGAATACAGAAGTGGCAAAGGATCTTCTTCCTATGTTTGGATAAAATGGTGTCATTTTATCTACTCAGGCTCTGGGAGCAAGAATACTGAGGAAGAAAGCAGTTTTTTTTGTTTGCTTGTTTTGTTTTTTGGCTTTTTTTTTTTTTTTTTGAGACAGGGTCTCACTATGTTGCTCAGGCTAGTCTTAAAAATCTTGGGCTCTAGGGCTGGGGATTTAGCACAGTGGTTCTGGCGCCTGCCTTGCAAGCTCAAGGTCCCGAGTTCAATCCCCAGTACCAAAAAAATCCTGGGCTCAACCAGTCCTCCTGCCTCAGTTTCCCAGGTAGCTGGGACTACAAGACTGTGCTACCACACTCAGCTTGAAAGCTTTTCAAAAGGCCCATCCTCCCATTCCTTTTACAAGATCATCTCTGCTTCATTTTTACCATTCAAACAAAGAAGACGGAATGGAAAAACATTCAAAAAGAGAAAAGAACAGGGCCGGAAGAGGGAAGGCTGCTGCCAGATGGTGAGAGGCAGGCAAATCAAGTGAACAGAGGTTTTCGGGTTTGACCACAAGGTGCAGGAAGGAGCCTAGAGGACACAGTTAAGTAGTGAGTATTTTGTGTCTAATCCTGAGCCTCATGGAACTCTAGGACACAGTTTGCAAATACTCATTGCAAATAGTCACTAATTCACCACAGAGTTCTTTGGAAGGAGGAAAAATTAGTAATCCCAACCCTGGGCTTGTTTCCTAGGACCTCCTAGTGAGCCTGAGAATTTCTTCTCTAGCAAAAAATGAGACAGGCAAAACTAATTTTAAAACATTTTGTAAAAGTCTTTGAGATTCCACAGAAGAAAAGAACATTCAAAAATCAAGGAAATCTGCTTTTGTAATTTTTAACCATTAAAGATGAAGTGGGAAAGCTGGGCACTGTAGTACACGCCCATCATCCCAGCACTTGGGAAGCGAGGCAGGAGGATCAAAAGTTCAAGGTCAGCCTGGCTACATGTAGAAGACCTGTCTCAAGAAAAGGAGGGGGAGGAGAATTGCATAGCCCCACCATCTAGATGGGTTAAAATTAGTATTTTATTGCTGGTTTAAAGATCAGAAAAAAAATCTATGCACATAGAAACCATTTTTTAAAATTTCACTGTTTTGTAAATGTACGCTTTAATTCCAAAAATTAGTACTTATCCTCCTTAAAAACAAGGAAAATGACAGTTAGGAACTTGAGTAGTTAATGCACGGTATAAACTATACAGTTAAATCCAGACGGTAAATTGAATTTGGGGGTTTTTACAATAACCACTATGCCCTCCTTCTGCTTCACCCCTGCTTCCTGAGAGGAAGTACTACGCCACTCGATCACGCGCTTACAATCTTTAAAATCGTAGGAAGAGGTCCTACCTCCTCGAAGGCATCTGTGTCCACATAGACGTCAGTGTCAGGAAGCTGTCCCAGAACTTTGTAGCTCGGGCTGCAGACAGAGAGTGTGCTGAAGCCCACCGTGCTGGGCGCAGTGTTCGGTCACAGGCATGTGTGGGTATGCTGTGTGACCCTTCTCGGGGGCCTTTGCAGAAGAGGCACATCACATTCCCAGTGCCACTCTGTCCCTGCATGGGCTGACATTGTGGATGCACAGCGGGAGTCGAGTCCCTCTGGATGGGAGAACTGGGCCTCAGCGGGGAGGATTTGGCAGGCAGAGGAGGACAGGGCCTCCCTAACCACCTGCGTGCCCTGCAGGTCTGCATCCTTCTGCTTCCAGGGGAGGCCAAGCCCTGATTGCTTCCCTCCTGACACCGTGAGCCAGGAAGTCTCTTTCCATGAGCTCCCATGGGCTTCATCTGGGGCCCTCTTCTCATTATTATCACACTGTATCTGGCTACGCCTGCTGAAGCACATGAAACTATACATTCTAATCTTCTAAGAAAGATGATACAAGGCTTACGAAGAATCTGCTTCTGGATCCACGGGAACCTGTATTTAAGTCACTGCCTCACCACTCACTGTGATCTTGGGTGAGCAGCCCAGTGACTCTCTGACCCAGCTTCCACACCCATAAAATGGAGCTGCTAGCAGTCTTTGGGTTGTAAGGAGGAAAGGACATAAAGCACTGATCTCTGCCTGGAGCTGAGCACGTAAGTAGCTGTCATCATTTAGGGTCATCATTCCTTCATTATCAACTAACATCATTCCCTTACTGCATGTCCGTTATCTTTGGGAGAAGCCAACCTTTTCTGAAGGTGTGGAGTACCACTTCTGATTAGACTCAAAGCCTGGGAAACATAGGGACACTTAAGGACATGACTCCACTATCAGGGCCATGTGAACAGTGGGCCACAGTTCTAGAAGAATGACTTTATATACTCACCCATGAAGGTGCTACATGGCCCTGAAAGGTCATTCAGGTGTTTTGTCTCACCATGTCCCCGTAAGCTGATAACAGACACCATAAGCGCTGTAAACTGCTGTAAACTGCTGTAAAGCAGCACTGTAGCTGCTTTGCTGAAGGAATAAAGGCAAGCAGCTCTTGAGCTCTAGAGCTCTTCCTCTGATGCTGCCTTTACTCTGATAAATGGCTCTGCATCTTGTTCTTTATTGGGGAATTAACTCACTCATGGAATCAAGGACTCAGGTAGACTAAATGAACCTCTTCCCTGGTGCCCTCTGGGGAGGCTCAGCCTGGATGGAAGGGAAGGACCCTGTCTTATTTACTGCAACATCCGAAGAGTCTAGTATCTCACTGGGATATAGGAGGTCCTCGACAAATATGTACTCATGGAGATTATAACTGCTTTAACACGTTTTATAACACTGGCTAAATTACGAGCGCTCTGGGGCCAAAGCTAAACCTCCTTCCAATGCTGGCCTGGGAGAGGTGATGTCGAGCTCTGCTGGGTGGAGTGGCTGTCATGGGGCTTCTGTGGGGGACCCAGTATTTGGAACAGGCCAAAGCTGGTGCACCACTAGCTGTCTCCTGGAAGTGCGCCTGATCACAGCAAGGAGGCCAGCTGCAAAGAAACAAGTATCCTGACTGCTGGTCCCCAAAGGCCACCCTACAAAAGCCCAGCAAGATCACCAACAACTGACAGAACTTACAAACTCAACTTCAGTTCAATACTTGAGGGAGAAAGAGAAGTACAGTATTTAAAAAACAAGCTTGCCCAACTTTAAATTTTAATTTATGATCAGAAATTATAAAATCCTATTCGGTAAAGAAAACAACACACATGGGACCGGGGATTTAGCTCAGTGGTTTCGCCAACTGCTGCACAAGCACAAGGACCCAGGTTCGATCCCCAATACCAAAAAAACAAAAAACAAAAAAAAAGGAAAACAACACACAAATCTCCAATTCTATATTATGGCTTGTTAGAGGAGATGGATATTTTTCTTTTTTAGTGACAGGGATTGATCTACCTCTGAGTTATACCCTACACCCCCTGGATAGTTTCAGACTATGATGTTCACCAACACTCTGAGATTTTAAAAAAAGGCCCTGTAGGAACTAATGATGTTCTTTATAAAAACAGGAAAACCTTCTTGTAGACAACAATGGGCCACAATGTTGAAATTTGTTAAAAGTAGTTTCATTTTCATTCTGAGCTTAGAACACATCTTTTAAACAATTTTCTCATGTTGTTTTAGTGATAAAAGTGCTCATTTTCTACTCCATTGAGCAGGAACATCCAGCCCTCTGCACAAAAAGCATTGGGATCCCCATCTGGTGCCTTTTCAGTGCAGCTGAGTCTGAACTTAAAGAACCATTACATGATTTGCAACTACAGGCAAAACAGCCTGATTTGTTTTCACAACTCTTTGCGTTAAAGGGAAGAAAACTCTTTGGTTGCAGGAGTCAGGTGCTATGCTGGGTCTCCATGTGCCTTACTGTCATTTAAACCTCACTGTAACTGTTTGAGGTAGCAAGTATTAGTCCCATTTTACAGATGTAGAAACTGAGATTTTCAGAGGTTCCATAAAAATTACAGAGCTTACAGAAGGCAGAGTCAGGACTCAAACTCGGGTTTGTCTGACCCAAGTTGAGGCTATTTCTATGAAACATTTCCTTTTATTTTCATGGAGGTTTCTTCATCATAAATAGCATTTTTGTTTTGTTTTGTTTTTGACTGAGCTAGGGTCTCACTATGCAGGTCAGAGTGGCCTCAAACTCACTAAGTAGCCTAGGTCGGCCTCAAACTCACTGTGATCCTCCTGTCTCAGTCTTCCCAGAGCTGGGATTACAGGTGTGCACCACCACATTTGGCCCCAGAATAGCATTTTTTAAAAGTTTATTTTATGCCTTTGCCAATAGGCTTGGCTTCCTACTAGGAGAAGACATCATGACAGGGGACAGTGCCTCAGACTGGAGGAAGGGACACCAGGAAGGCTGCGTATGACCACTTGGTGTCGGAGCTTGCTTCATGTCATTGAAATCCATGTTGGCCCCGGGTACCAAAGTGAATTGCCAGAACACCTTTCACTCAGAAGAGGGGCAAATGAACCAATGAGTCACACTCGGGGCAGGAATGAGAGGGGCAATGATGGAGCTTAGGATTTTTAAACAAAATCACTGCTGGAAATATACACCACGACACAGTAGAGTATCTGACAAAATTGCATGCAATCTTGTATTTGGCACTTGGTTGATTTAGTCAACAGGTCACATGAGCATTGTAGCTCCCTCTTACACTAACTAAAAATAACTGAAGGGCTTCACTTTCACCACTTTTGCGCTGCAAATCTGCATGCCAGTGTCCACCAGGACAGTCACACCCACTCCAATCTGGCACTCACCTCTGGGTTCTGTAAATCACAGTCAGCAGAGCAATGATCACGGCAGTAATCAGGCCATAGTCCAATCCCAGGAACAAGGAGGACACAAAAGTGGTGAGCCAGATGGTCTAAATGAAGGTCAAAGAGCAGTCCAGAGAATCATGTTAAAATCCCATAAGAGTTAACACACAGGCCCGCATGTGCATGCACACGTGCACACACACACACACACACACACGGGCTATGTTTACTTTGCCTACCTGGGTGCTACACATAACAACTGTGTTAACATCTTCGCCATGTTTTTATTGCACTAATAACAGCTGCTGCTGAGACATATTAACCTGAGCATCACTGACTCACCAGCTCTATTTTGCTGGTTCTCCAGAAGAAAGGCAGATCTGAGAACTGCATGAACATTCCTTTCAGGTTGACAATCACGATGGCCGACAGCACAGCCTGCAACACAGCAACCCATCTGTGGCTCCCCTCTCTCCTCCCATGGCCCCAGAGCCCTCCTGCTCCCCCCATGCAGCCATCTTCTCCCTACTCCTCACTGAAATCACGAATGCCTGGAGTTTTAGCACTCAGCTGAAATGGGCCTTGAAAATCCAGGCTCATCTCCTAGTAGCAAAGCTATATGGTGGTGAAGAGGTTCAGAATTAAACTTAGAATGCAAGGAATTATTTCACCATGGTCTTCCTACTTATGATCTGCTTTTTCCATCTTTTGATCTTTCCTAGATTAAATACATTAGCAAATAAATGTCTTTGAATGTAGGGCATCTCAGGTTTTTAATGAAAGTATAAGGTCATAGAAGGTTCCTCAGTGATCAGCCAGTACAAAAGGAGAAGGATCCTCGGTGATCAGCCAGTACAATCTCCACTTTGGAGGTCAAGAGGAGAGGAGATGGCTTTCCTGAGTGCGGTGGGCAGCCGTCAGGTCATGATGGTGCATGACATCAGTCCTAGCCTGGGCCTTTTCTTATACCACCCTCCTAGGATTCCAGTAAAACCCCTAAGATGGCTGCAAAAATATAAACAAATACCAGACTCTCCACGCTTGGAAAGAATGCACACCACGTCCACACTACACACCTGGGGTAATGATTCAAAGAGGAATCCCGTGGCTAATATGACCAGCAAAATCATTAATGAGGCCAAGCAACCTGCAAGCTGAATGAGAGAAGACAGGGAAGGGCTTTTAGGAGACCAGAGTAAGATGTGGGGCAGAGGCTGGTCTTATTCTTTCCATTACCACTGGGAAAATCAAGAAAATACGGATTCATATTAAGTCATCCAAACCATTACACGAACCTATATCTCTACTTTTTGAAGGTTTAGTTCCTCTTATAGCTTTTAAACAGAAACTAAAATGCTTAAACATCCTGACTGAAAGGCCATAGCAGGGGTGGAGAGGGGTGCCTGGTACCAACTTGAGACTTACCAGGGAAAGAAGAGTCCAGAGAACTATTTGCTGTCCGATATGGCAGCCATTGGGTACATTCAGCAATTTAAAATTAAAATAAAATACAATAAAAAATGTAGGTCTTGGTTGCCATAGCCACATCAAATGCTCAAGAGCCATAAATTGCTAGTGGCCACCATATTTAGCATTGCCATCATTGCAGACCATTCTGCTACATGGTGGTGGCATCCTGCCCATATTGAGTCTCAGGCTGTCCTGACAACATCCTGTGTCTGATCTTTAAGTTTCCCTGGTAGCAAAGGGAGTATTGTAAAATTTTCCAATTTAACCGGAGAATATACCACTTTTCTATAGATTCAGTTCCTTGTGACTCCTTCATTCAATCAAGCCTTTATCTGATTCACTACCCAGCTCACTGCAGCATGGATCTGCAGGCACAGCAGCTTTGTTTGGGTTCAGAGTAGAACCAAGAGATTAACATTTAAAGAGCACTCAAATCACCAGTTCACAGACGCCTGTTGATACTCACCTGTGTCTTCCCCCCAGTTCCCTCCTGAACAAGGCTTCGAGACAAGGAGCAAGAAATTGAAAAGGTCTGGAAGAGGGAGCCAATGGAATTGCACAGTCCCAGGGCGATGAGCTCCTTTTCCATGGGGAAACAAAAACGCAAAGGAGATAGTCAACCTTGGAGGTGGAGGTGACAGCTTATTTACTACTAACTTTCAGCAGCACAAGCTGTCTCTGTTCTTTCTTTTTTCAGATATAATTTGTTTAGTATGAGCCCCAAATAGGATTTATAGTATATTTTATGGTTGGAGAAAAACATTTTGGATTTTTCTTGTGCCAGAGATAAATGCCGTGATCCCTACCCGCTCCCCCCTTCCCCAAACACTCTCTTACACATAGTGCTTTTTCTTATTATAAAGTATTTTGTCTAAAAGAGAGTTCTTGATGTGTTCCTACTGGCATCTTTTAGATATTATTGCTCATCAAGTGCATGCCCTCATCTTCCCAGGACCAGTGAACGCTCTTAGGCCTCCTTTGGGTATTTTGACTTGGATCTCTGCATTTCCTGTAAATATGGAGCACCTTGGAAACCAAAGCGTGCTGAAATAGGCTGCCAAGGTTATAGCTCATGGGGTGTGGACTAAATATCTTACCTGGAGCTAATTATAAGAGGGGGCAGCAAAGAGAATACTGTGGAGTTTGAGAGGTAAATCATATACCAGATAAATACAGATACAGATAAGCCTTCCTGTGGAGCAAAAATGGTTCTGAAGAAAGATCAGACTCCCAGGCTATGGGCTCTAACCACAGAAGTAACATCTATAGGAGCATGGCAAACCATACGCTCCAGATTCGAGTTGCAGCTCTCTAGCCCGAGCCTTGACCATGAAGGGAGGACTCTGCACCTCAGGTTCCAATGGCCTAATGCTCATACATAATGAAAAAATTATAGCATTGAATAAATACATGCTTCAAATACATCCATCACCAAAGCAAAGGCTTTTCTTTCAAGATAGATAAATTGAGTTCACTTGCTTTCTTGTGTAATAGCTTGACCAGTGTACCACAGGGAAGCATCTGCAGGGAACTGATGATTTTACCTGATTGCCGTCAACCTGGTAGCCATGTTTATTTGCCAAGGTCTTGGCCATTGAGATGGTCACTGAGAATCCAACGATGGCTATGGCGATGGCATCCACATACACGAGGTGGAAGAGGCTGGTGTCCGGGTTGGCTGGAGGGAGTAGCCTGAAAAGTCAAGCTGACTGTAACTCAAGTGTTGTGACCACTGAGGAAAAAGCACAGGACCAGAGGGGAGCATTCGAGAAGGGCATTAGGTGCAAATGAGGTGAACTCACTGGGCTCTTGGGACACGGAACTTATTTGCTCTGGTTTGGCAAACATGAGGTCGCTCCTTGACCTAGAGATGTGCTTTCCAGGCCCCAAACTGCAGGGCTGGCTTGAAGCCTGGGTGGTTTATCAGCAGAGATCAGGTGCCATTTTATTTATAAAAGGAGAAACCTCATACCAAGGGCACCCTGATGCCAGGTGTAAGTAAGACACAGAACAGGGAGAAAAGAGGGTCAGAGAGGTACTCAGATGCCACAAGACATCTGAACCAGTCTCGGGGAGGGGAGGGCATCGTACAAGGGCTAACTTAGAGGAGAACTACTGTCCTTGTAACACTACTCATGCTTCTCCCTTGTTACCCGAGGGAAGGACTCTGAGTCTACTAACTCTTCCTGTGTCATCGGTCTCTCCAGTCAGTTCTAACATGGGGAAGGAGCAGTAGCTGATCATACTCCCTGGGTCTCAATGGGGAAATTGGGGGATCTAGAGGCCTCCTAGAACCCCACAAAGGAGTATCCAGTTTTTGCCCATTCTTGTAGTTTGAGACTCTCTTTCCTAAAGAAACTTAATTGAGATTCCCTAGACTGTATAGGGAAAGAGAAACAAGGATTTTTCAAAGGCATTCGGATCCTGCTCCAACTCAAAACAATGGGCTGGATAATACTCACAACCATTTCAGTGATACACACTCAGAATGCTTACTACAAACACAACCATTTATCAAGTGCTTCCTCTGTGCCAGGTTCTCTGCTTATTTAATTATTTCCTCTAGCCCTAGGAATGATGTAGCATTGTAATCCCAATTTTATAGAGGAGAAAATGAGGCATAGTTAGGTTAAACAACTTGCCCAAGGTCAAACAAGTCATTTGAATGACTTCAGCAAAGTCACAAGAAACCTGCCTCTCTACACCGTTTTTGTCTGCACATCGTAGTAGACTGACAGAAGAGACATTTCATCAGATTCTGGGGTAAGGAAAGGGAGGGGAGGAAGGGAAAGGAAACTGATGTCTGTAAGGCTAGATTATCTGCTACATGCAGCAGTCCTATCAGTGAGTGCCAGGATTATCCCACTCTCTAGATGGAAAAAGAGATCTATCTTTTCAGTTGTTAAGTGATTTTCCCAAGATGGAGCAGAATGTCAAACGCATGGGGTCTGACTATAAAATCATCATCTTTCTCCTGCACTTCGCTGTTTGTGTAAGCTTGGCCAAGAGAGAAGGCCCAGCAGCAGGTGGGGCCTGAGGAATAAGAAAAGGGCAGGTTCTGGAATGAAGTCAGGAAAGGAAGCCCTCAAATGGGATATACAATCATGACCGGGGTCTGTAAGAGTCATCTGTCTCTTCCCGGGCCCTGCATTGTGCACATGTGTGTGTATGCCTCCATAAGAGTGGAAGTTCCCTTCAGACGGCCCAGTGCTCTCACCCTGGCATGAGCTTCTCCCAACCAGAAGCCTGGCGTTTCCCTCCTGCTGGGTCCAGGCTGGCCTTAGCTTTGCTGTGACCAAGATAATGAGGTGGAAGTGATGTCACATGGGGCTGGAGGAGGCCTAGCACGTTCGCTGCTTTTTTTTTTTTATGCTACCCTGGGCCACGTGGTAAAGCAGTCTGGCTACCCTGCTGGAGACACCAGGTGCAGACCCCCAGCTGCTCCAGCCAGGCCAGCTAAGGCACGGACGTGAGGCTGGAGCCCTCTTGGATCCCCCAGGCCGAGTTACACCTCCAGACTCCTGCAGGTGAGAGGTCACCAGTGAGGCTAGCATCACCACTTCAAGCACAACTTAGGGTGAAGAATTATGAGCAGGTGAGTGGTTGCTGTTGAAAGCCACTGTTAGGGGGGAGTTTGTTATATATGAGTAGAGTCACAGATAAGAGAAATAGTATGATTGTATGTAGATAAGCACATAGGTATTTGTTACCTGCTTGGTTTTGGGCAAAGTTCCAGAAAGATAAGACTGCTCATTAGCCAAGTTCCAGAAAGGTAAAATGTTTTTTTTCCTAGTTTAGTTCTTGCATAGAGAAGGAAAGCAACACATCTGGATACAACATAACGGGGAAAGGAAGACATTGAGTAGGAATTATGATGATGTGTAAATTTTAATGTATCAGCGTATTTTAAAAGGAGAAATCTACATGTAAGAATTTCCCACTCAATAGAATTATTTGTAACTAGTAACTGAATAGGATTATCTGTTGGATCCAATCAGAGATGATTGTTTATCTTGTGACTGAGTTAGAGACCCAGGGCTGAGGTAATGGAAAGAGGACACAACCCAGTATCAGAAGACCAAGTTCTAGGTCCTGGCTGGGACTCACCAGCATGTCACTAAAGCTCATTTATGTCTCCACAATATCACCTTCCCAGATTCCCTTCCTAAAGAGCAAAGCCAGTGCCCTTAACCCTCACTTCACTGTTTTCACAGTGAGACAGACCACCACGGGACAAAGGGCAGGTGGGCTTCTGGGCCTGTGACTCGTTATGAGTGAAGGACCCTAGTTAGCAAAACAGACTCCATATTGCTGCTGGACGACCCACCTGCCTGCCCTTTAGATGAACTCAGAAGGAGGAAGCTTAGAAACCTCCTCCCCTTAGAAAGTCTCTTTAGAAACTACAATTAATCAACCATTGTTTTACAAATGTTCTAACAGCAGAACTTTCCGCTTCTGTACCTTTTGCTTGCTTTGCTAGTTCTGTCCCATAAGGGGGCTTAGAAACCGTTGGTCTCAAAGATGTATAAAACATGTTAGTCTCCCCCCAGTCGGGGCTCGAGTCCGATGCTCGGCTCCGGTCCCGGCCGGTAATAAACTCCTGTGTGGATTTAATATCGGTCTCTGGCTGGTTCTTTCTCGCTGGGTCTAACACGAGTACAGTGTGTGTTCCTCCTTATCCTCTCACTCTCTCAATTTTATCAACCTCCAAAAACCAGGTGCATCCTTAAAGCCAGGATGCGTTTGCCACAGCATCTCCAAGAATGAACCAGATGAGAGAATAAATGACCAGTAACATCTCAGGAGGACAGAGGACAAGCCAACTCCCAGATTCTTAACCTGCTGCTCGCTGACAGCTCCATCGAGCTTTCTGCCACTCCCCCACCCGCGGGTCCTCTTCGCGGGCACCCCACGCCATCCTATCACCAGGCCCGGGCGTCTATGCAGGACGGGCACGTGATAGAATGTAACAGTTGCTGGGACAAGCTGGTCGCCCGTTCCCTGAGACCAAGGTGTTTGCATAGGAAAAGAAAATTCCTTTTCAACTAGTGAAATTTCTCCCCTCGGAGCCCTGCATGTGAATAGAAATCTTGCCCTTTTCTTTGTTAACAGGCGAGCCGGATTGCTCCTCTCAATCAGAGCTGTCCTCCTTGGAGGCAATAAAGCTTGGTTTCACCTATCCTGCCCCGGGGCTGGGAGATTCCACGTCCAGTAGCAACAGCACTTCTTACTGTTTGCTGACTTCAGTAAATGCAAGCTCCACGGGGACCAGCACTTTTTTGTTTGTGTGTCTGTTTTCGATTTTAACTACCGTGTCTCTGGTACATAATAAGCATTCAATAAACACATGTTGAGTGAATGGGAATAATGAATTTTGCTGTGAGACAGAGGGTTATTATTACAAGCACCAACTGCGATGGCAGGTACGGAAGTATCGTACAAACTAAAGTCCAAATTGAAAAGCAAGGGGTTATTACTGTCACGGCTGTACGCTGGATCTTAAGTAACATGTTCACGATCCTCATTTATGCTTCCAAGTTTAAAGCGAGTGCAAGTTTCTGCTGGCAGAGGAGCAGCCTGAGAAGGCAGGATGCAGGCTGCTTCCCATCTTTGTCTCCCCCATCAGTACCTTGAACTCCCCCCAAAGGTGTTTCTCCAATAAATCTCCTTAGAGTTGTTTTTCAGAAATAATGCTCCACAAGCTACCTTAATGAGGATGTGCCAGTGACAGTGGCCAACCTGCTGCCCTAGGAACCCAAAACCTCCGCAGGAACGGCCGGAGCCTGAAAGCCCAGGTCACAGGACTGCGCCTGCGCAGACTCAGCCCCACCCATGCACGACAATGGTCCCGGAAGTTGCTTTACTGCGGGACAGATTACATCCGGGTCACTGCTTCGAAATTTATTCTCCTGGTCTCCGTAAGTGCTGCGAATACGTTTCACTCTGCGACGCTCTTCTTGGTGTTCTGTTCTGATTCGATTCCCTACCAAATCTGGTGACACTGCCCGCTCCAGCACCTGCTGTCTCTCGAAGCATTGGCTGGCTTCGAGAGCATCCTGGGCCGCTCTGCCTGTCAGGGCTCCTGGATGGGGCTGGATGGCTACGCGGAGAGAACTGGGCAGGTGTCGGCACAGAGCGATGGTCAGAGCAACGGGGAGAATATTGTGCATGAGGCAGAAAGACAGAGACGACCTGGGACTAGAGAGAGATTTCAGAGAGTGTTGGAGAGGGGCAGAGTGAAACGAGCAGAGGCGTGATCATTCTTGGTCTTCTGATACAGAGGTAATAAATGTCAAACACAGAGTTAAGTAATACAGATGAAGAAATGTAAGCATCGTATGACTTGAGACTAGAAAACTCACTGAAGTAAGGAGCCTCAGAACTTTGAATCCCCTACCTGGAAGGTTTATTGTGCAACAGGGTGGCTCCCAACCCTAACCCTAACCCCACCTGCTTCACTCCCTCTCACAGCGGCCATGCCCAGGCCACCAGTGGGGGAGGAGACTGAAGCTTTGAGACATAACTGACCTGCCCAACTCCACAGCTAGGAAATGGCAGGCTACAGTTATTCCTTTTGTTCTCAATTCTTGTGTCAAAGATTTTCAAAGTTATTAAAGAAGACCAAAACCCAAAACAAAACATGCTGTACTTTGGTGGGATTATAAAGTTGTGCATTTGGTATGAAAAGAGTGTAGCATCTCCTGAAACATCATAAATGGGACTACCATAGCATCCAGCAATCCCACTTTGGAATGTACACTCAAAAGAATTGAAAGCAGGGTCCTAAAGACATAGTTGCACACCCATGTCCCTAGCAGCACTATTCACAATAGCCAAGAGGTGAATGCAAACAAATGCTCACTGGTGGGTGAATGCAGAAACAAAATATACCACGTACATACAATGAGATACTCAACTGTAAAAAAAGGAAGAATACACTGTCATTTCCAACATGGGCAAAACTTTAGGATATTAAGTGAAATAAGCCATCAGAAAAAGACATACTATATGAGTCCATTGATAAGAGGTACCTAGAAAAGTCAAATTCATAGAAACAAGAGGATGAATAGTGGTCACAGGGGTTGAGGGATGGAGAAAAAGGGAATTGTTTGATAAGTGCAGAATTTATGATTTGCAAGAGGAGGAAGTTCCAGAAATCTATTTTACAACAATTTTAATATATTTAACTCTGTTGAACTATATGGTTAACAATGATTAAGATGATAGATTTTTTAAAACCACAACAGATACACACGCATGCCACAAACCCTTAAACCCTCCAGCTATTTGATAGGTAGAAAAAGGTTATTTTTCATTGCAAGAGCAGTAGAGTAGGAGTTATAAACAATAGGTCCATTGATTGTTCAAGTCACTCTGTTACTTAAACTATTTTCCTACCCCAGAGGCAGTGTCCCAACGACATCCACATTGTAAGATTCTTGCAAATTAAATCCAGCTGAAATGCCAGTTCCCATTACCACCTAAAATAGACACAAACCCAAATGCACCTTTAGAGATTAATATTCAAATGTCACATAAATAAGCTTCAAAGAATTTGTTAGGCAAGGCAAATCTATTTTCACTTTGTTGTCGTTGGCGTGTGTGTGTGTGTGTGTTTGTGTGTGTGTGTTTGAGACATGGTCTCACTAGATAGCCCAGGCAGGCTTTCAATTCTTGGTCCTCTGGCCTCAGCCTCCAGTGTTCAGGGATTACAGGCATGCATCACCGCTCATGATTCATTTTGAATGCTCAGACTTAAAAGAAAGAATCACTGTTAGCATCCAGCAATTCTAACTTCTCTCCATGACTCTGCTCCACATAACTGAAATGGGCTTTCCAGTTTCCTAAAGGCCTGGAATTGTTCTATTTTCCCTTCTGTTCCACACTGAGGTTTTGGCATAGGGGTTGGCCTTTCATCTGGGTAGAAGGCATCTCTGGCCTCTTGACGAGTAAAGGATAAGGAAAAGTGTAAAGGACGAATAAAGGATACGGCGAGGGTGATGCAGTGACTTTGGAATCTGCCTGCTGACCCAGCTTGTAGAACAGCACCGGAAGTGTGGTCAGGACCCTGCAGTTGTCTTCTGCAGGGCGAGCGGGACCGCAGTCGCCCAGCTTTACCCGAGGTGTAAAGCACCACCCTCAGTGCACTACAAGAGGAGACACAGCAAGGTAAGCTGGGGGTCTGCTCCACCCCCAGTAACTATGGCTTATGGAGCTTTCTGAATGGGTGCTCCAGAGAAGGACTTAGAGATGATGTGGGAAAGGACCAGTCCCTTTCAGGGGGCCCCGGCAGGAAAGTGATCATAAGGTAATCTTACTGTCGGAAACTGAAGCCCAGAGACCAGGGGCGAGGGTGTTTTCAGTCCCTTTGGATAAAGGACCCCTTTCTGTCAGCAATTATGTTTTTCACTCTTAACTACATTTTTTATGCATCTCAGCTCTGGAGAGTGTCCAGAATATTTAAATTCACAACATAAATATGCTCAAGTTTCTGAGCATTAGTTTTATGTGGTGACAAGCAATGAGCACACAGTTGTGGGAGTTGGACAGGTTGTCACCAGGTGGGACTTACCGCAAAGAACTCTAAAGGAATGGGTGCTGGCAATTTCTCTTTAAATCTCTCATTAAACTCCTTGCCACCCAACAGCAAACCAAAAACCATCAGCCCGACGCCTAGGGAACACACGTTGAGGTTTTTAACATTCTGCAACACAGCAACTGTACTCTGTAACACAGTGAACACTGGAGTTTACATCAAGAAACAGCCCGCATTGCACGACTCGACAACACACGGTACCTAGAACAGCAGCTCAGAGAGACAGGTGCACAGAGGGCCGGGGGCTTTCTAATGGGTGTGGAGCTCCTGTCTTCGATGAGGAAGAGGTTCCAGAAATGGCCAGGGATTGTGGCTGTACAACCCTGTGAATGTACTTATCACCACTGAATTGTACACTTTAAAAAAATAAAGGAATACATTTTGTTATATATATCTTACCACAGAAAACTTTTAAAAATCAAAAGAACTGAGACTAAAAATTTAAAAGAGAGAGGGCTGGGGCTGGGGCTCAGTGGTAGCGTGTGTGCTTACCACGTGCAAGGCCCTGGGTTCCATCCCCAGAACCACACAAAAAATGTTCGCATTTTTACCGTGCCACACAATTTTATAACAGCAATTCTTATTCACCAATCTTAGGGTGTTTTTTGATATGCTGATGTCTTGCTGTAGTGTTTATAAAATTCAGGAAAATAACCCCGAGGCTGAGCTGTGACCATTAGGAAAGAATTACGGGTTAATATCAGCAAAAGACTCCAAAGGGAAACAGAAAAGTTTTTCGGGAGTCAAGGAGGGAGAAATGATCATCAGCAGATGGGAGAGGTCAGGTGGGCTCCGAAGGCCAGAGTGTAAGTTTGGAAAGGAGCCCTGGGAGCATGCGTGAGGGGAGAGCCACTGGGTCATGACCTAGGGTGGCAGACAGTCCCCATCTGCAACCCAACAAGGCCCACGGTCTTCTCACCCAGGTCGCACACACTCCTGTCGCTGCCTAGAGTGCACTCAGCGCTGCTTGTGTGTTGTATTGTCATTGTGACAAGGCAGTCTGAGAAGCCTCAGCGTCAGAAGCCTGTCACCAGCAATTACAGTTATTTAGGGAACAGTCTTATGCCTTGATTCCATTCTAATCAATCAAGGACTCACATTTAAGTATCATTTTCTCAAAGTTACTTTCCTAGACTTTTTTTTTACAGACTAGCGTGTGCCTTCTTTTCATAGGACTTAATGTAATTTGCAGTTAATTACACACTTGCCCAGCTGGTGATTCATTAATCATCCTCCCCCTGACTGCAAGCGGGAGCGGGCCAGGCGGCATCTGCTCGCCTCATTGCTGCCCCCTAGTGCCCGGCATAGCGGTGGGCACAGAGCACCTGGAAAAGCGGCGACTGCATCTGCCAAGTCCTGATTCTGCCACTTCCCGGTCAGGGTGTCCTAAGTATTTCATCATTTCCTCTTCGTCTGTGGGTCATTTAGAAATGTGTCTCTGGATTCAGAATGTATGGGGGGTTAAAACGACATTCACTGATTTCCATTTACACTACGCTGTGTGAAAAAATATTGCATTTTAGATTGTGCTCGTTTTCATATTGGTTTTAACATGACAATTTATTACCATTGTTTCCTGTGTGCCTGGAAATAAATTTTCTCTCAGTTGTGTGCAGAGTATGCATATTTTATCCTATTAATCTGGGTTAGCTGTGTTAGTTTAATCTTTTTGCCTCACATGTTTTGGGGTGGGGGTCAGTACTGGGAATTGAAGCCCGGGCCTATGAACTGAATTACTTCCCCAGACATTTAAAAAAAATTTTAATTTTGAGACAAGGTCTCACTAACTTGCTAGGTAGCCCGGGCTGGGCTTGAACTAACAGCCCTCCTGTTTCAGCCTCCCAGGGTGCTGGGATGACAGGCAGGTGCCACCATGCCTGGAGCCTTACTTTTATTTTTCTTAAGATGAAGTTATGGTCTTGGAGGCTTTGTTTGTTTGTTTTGGACACTAACAAATAATTTAAAGGCCTAGTGGGAGAGAATCTCTCTCTCAGAAATTACAAACTCAGGCAGGCGAAGCATAAGTAAGGCACCTCATTAGGGTGATGGTGCTGTCACCAAATAAAGACTTAACAAAAAATTGTTGTTGAAGTAAGCAGAATCATATATCCATACAATGGGATTTTAGGGTTAGGCTTCCTTGTGGTTCTCTTCCCAGAAACCCTTAGAGTAACTAAGTCTTCTTCCTTTGATAGTTTCTTGGAAAAAAAAGAAAAATGAGATGCAGAAAAGGGAGAAGAATAAAGAAAGAAGCGCAGTCCCAGCGACCCAGAAGTTGCTGACTTACATACACCACTGAGAAGATTCCAGTGTACCGCTTTGTCCTAACCCCGAAGAGGTACTTGAGCATGGAGGTGAACACGTGCACGGCAGCTGCAGTGGTGAACCCGCGCACGAGGGGCTCTGTGAGGTAGATGGCCACAAATCCGAACCTGCACACACCTAGGCAGAACTTTTTTTAATGGCAAAGAAACAAACAAACCACGTGAGAGGTTAGGAAGGCATGATAAACAGAAAACACATAAAAGTTCTTTCTGGCCCACCTTCTAACCCTACAAACTTGGACCTGCAGGGATTCGGTAGCTCGGAAATCAGCCACTGGCTATGGAGAAAACAATGGCAGTCTGGAGGGGCCACAGAGCACGGGCCACACTTGTGCCTTGTGTCCCACAGAGCCAGGGCCACGCTTGGTCCAGCACACACCTGACCACTGGTCGTTCCGGCCAAGCAGACAAGGGACGTCCTCTTCCAGTACTAACCAATCCTGCTTTTTCAGGCTTGACTTGCTTTTGGGATCTCCAAGTGCCCAACAAAGCTTGCTAGCCTCTCCTTGTTGTAAATAAGGCATGCAGTCAGACTGGTGTGCCTGAACCCCAGCTCTGGAGTGTGGCTGGCTGGCTGTCCACCGTGTGTTAAGATCAGCCAGGAGTGTTGCACAGATGTTTCGGAGGCAAACAGACCAGCCCCACGTCCCCACCTTGGAGTCTTACCTGAATGATTCCGGAGAGTAAGGTCACAGACATGGCGACTTTCACTCTCAAGGCGTCCCTGGCTTCCGTGCCGTTGGTTGCATTTCCTCCTCCTGGAATGACGATGTCATCTGGTACTAATCGAACAGCCACGCCACCAATCATCAAGCTAATAACGGCAAAAGGACCTGAAATGGTGAACCATCAACAGTCTTATTCAGGGGCTCATGGGAACCACCCAGGGTAGCTATGAGACAGGCACGACTGACCCTCGCTGAGGGAAACCTCTCCAGTGAATCCCATGTGGTCATCGCTGTGCGCCAAGAGACACAGGGGAGGTCAGTGAGCACTGCCCTCTTTCAGTGTCCTGGCCCTGGGTGTGAGCACCTCGGGTGTGCAGGCTGTGTGCTGCAAGCGCCACCACAGCAGTAGCTCCCACCCACCGCTCTTCTGGGCCCTTGACATCAAGAGGTAGAGTCCAGCACTTCTCTCCTTGAATCTAGGTGGGCTCAAGACATGCTAGCAATCAAAAGAACACAGCAGCAGAGACACTGCGTGACTTCTGAGGTGAGGCAGTGAATGGCAATGCAGCATCTACCGGAGAGCTGTAAACCACATGCTGTAGCCTGGGCCACCATGTTTGAGAAAGCTCTAACCAGGCTACAGGGAGACTTCCTGTGACAAGATGGAAAGGGAGAGGGAAAGGGAGACAAAGGGAGAAGAAGGGAGACAGGAGAGATGGCCCAGACCAGCACTTCCCCAATCCTGACCCACAAGAAAGGAGAGGTAATAAAATGATTATTTTTTCATATTTTCTATATTTTTAATTAAAATTTTTAACTGATCCATGATATAAGCTGCTAAATTGAGGGCCATTTGTTACCCAGCAATAGCTACCTGAAACACTGTGTTTTCAGGCAGTGGCTTTATGAAACACTGTTATGAAATTCATATGAATACATCTGAAATAGCTGGAGAGAAAATATGTACAATTCAGACACTCAAAATGATGAAAATTATATACATGCATAGTAATAGGAACTCAAAGAAAGTCAGACATGAGTAATTTTATTAGGAAATAAAGCATTTATCTCATTTCACAGATTTTAATAACTGCTATTTTACACAAGAAAATTGTCCTTTTTTTATTATCCCAAGAGTATAAGAAAGCTATTCACTCTAGAAGTTGTGGGAGGAATGTGTTGCTTAAAGACCTCTTTTGTTTTGGTACCGGGGATTGAACTCAGGACCTTGTGCTTGCGAGGCAGGCGAGATGCTACTGAGCTAAATTCCTGGCTCTAAAGACCTTTTTTTTAAAGGCAAAATCTTTCTGTGTAGACCAGACTGGCCTTGAATTTGTGATGATCTTCCTGCCTCAGCCTCCTGAGTGCTAGGATTACAGGCATGCACCGCCATGCTTAGCTAAAGCACCTATTATGTGAGCAGTAACAAAAGTTAGAAAGTAGATGTTCTAAATAACAACCACACTACTTCTTTGGCACACTGTGAAGCCAACAGAAAGGTCCTAGAAAATCAAGTTCAAGCATAAGCTTTTACCTATGGATATGTGCCTGGAGGTTCCAAGGAAACAGTACATGATAACAGGGTAAAACGAAGAGTACAGGCCGAACACCGGAGGCACCGCTGCCAGCATTGCGAAGGCCAGACCTGTGGGATTAAAGCAGAGAGGGGAGCATTAGAAGGCAGGGGTGGGTGCATTGCTCATGGGCTTCCTCTCTGACCAACAGGTGAAGCCCACCTTCATGTGCCAGGTGTGTCCGCCCTGCCCACCCTTCCACCCCAATCCCACATGGAGTCTTGTGCCTGCAGCTTCCAGCCTGGCATGGTTTTCCCTCTTCATCTCCCTTTTGCCAGTATATGGGCTTTTTCCTGCTTTAGTTTTTTTTTTTTTTTTAGCTCTGGGGGTCAAATTCAGGGGGGCACTACCACTACATCCCAGGCCTTTTATTTATTTTTTAAATTTTGAGACAGAGTTTCCATATGTTGCCTAGGTGGGACTCAAACTTGTTACCCTCCTGCCTCAGTTTCCCTGAGTGTTGGGATTACAAGCATGTGCCACTCCTGGCTTTTATCCTTTTACTTATTTATTTATATGGTACAGGGGATCGAACTCGGGACCCTGCGCTTTTGAGGCAGGCGGTGGAACCACTGAGCTAAATCCCTGGCCCTTTCCTGCTTTAGTTTTAAAAAATTAAGACAAGAGTAGAAAAAAATCTTCCTGGATAGGTGCAGTGGTAGTCTGGTGTCAATGGACAAATGCTCTCTCTTCCTGTAGTGGTGCGTTGTGTGGGTTCCTGGAGGTCCCTTTGCTCTGAGGAGCCCCCACTGTCCACCCCGGGTCCATGTGATGCCTTCCCCTGACTCTCAGACCCTGACTCTGGCCCTGGATCAGAAGGTGCAGTCCCAGGGTCTTCTCCACGCCATCTTTCACACGAGCTGTCCTGGTACCTTCTGGGTGCCCCTGTTCCAAAGGAAAGCTTGGCATTTTACCCCAAGAAACTTAGGAAGCACAGGTCACACCCTCTGAGGACTCTGTTCTGCTGTCTCCAGCAGCTCACACCAGCCTTTACCTGTGGACTCGTAGGAGACTTTATTTTTTAGAGCAATTCTGCAGCAAATTGAGTAGAAGGTTCAGGGATTTCCTTTATCTGCATCTGCCCAGCCCTGGCCAGAGTGGTACGTTTATTACAATGATGAACCTACAGCCAGAGTTTACACCAAGGTACATGATACACATTCCCTACAAATACGTGACAACGCCATCCTCCCTGACAGTACACACGGGATAGTTTCATAGCCTAAAAATGCCTCTGCCCTCCAACTCCTCATTCTTCTCTCCTCACAGATCCCTAGCAACCACTGATCTTTTCTCTTTCCACAGTGTTGCCTTTTCCAGAATGTCCTATACTTGGGACCTATGCATTTACGCTTCCTCCATGTCTCTCCCTGGCATGAGGGTGCATTTCTTTTCAGTGGTGAATCATATTCCACCATCTGGATGGACCACAGTTAACTTATCTACTGAAAGATATCTTGGTTGCTTCCAAGGCTTGATGACTATGAATAAAGAGGCTAGAAATAGCCATGTCCAGGTTTAATTCAGGTTTTTAAAAAAGAGGCCATTTTTTTGAGCAGTGGGAATTTTTTTTCATGCAAGACTTAGACAGTGGTCTCCACAAATTGCAGGGAACACTGCAAGCACTCTGTGTGGCTCACTGCGAAGAAGTGCACGTACAGAGTGCGGAAGGCAAGCAGTACTCCAAGCTCCACTTGGGTGAGCCAGCCCTCCACTGCATCTCCTGTCCCTCCAGGTCCCATCCTGACCAACCCACCAGTGTCACTTCCAACTCTGGAACCAGTTTTGCTGTTTATCTCCATTTTTAAAATTCAGCAGTCCTTAACAAAGCAGTTTGTCAGCCCTCCTGCATATGGCAAACTTGGGACTTTTTTACAATGGAAGTGCTCCTGCCATTGAGGGGTTAGAGGCCATGATGCTGCTGAATATCGTATAATTCACAGGACAGACGCCACAAGAAACAGTGTAAATGGTATGGTGTGAGAAATTTTGTTTTAAATGTTTCTGTTATTACATCACATAAACAGAAGCAAGGACAAACAACGCACGTCATGATCATCTCCATAGACATAGAAAAAGGCTTTGACAAACTCCAATATTCATTCATGATAAAAACACTGAAGAAAATTGGTATAGAAGGACTTTATCTCAATCTGATAAAAGCCACTTATGACAAACCTAGTGCTAACATCATATTAAATGCGGGAAAAGCTGAAAGCTTTCCCTCTAAAATCAGGAACAAGGCAAGGATGTCCACTATCACCACTGTTGTTCAACACAGTACTTGAAATATCAGCAAGAGCAATTAGGCACGAGAAGGAAATAAAGGAGATATGTACAGGAAAGGAAAAAGTCAAGTTATTATTACTTGAAATAACATGATCTTCAACATTGAAGATCCTAAAATCTACCACCAAACTCCTAGAATAACAAAATTAAGCATTGTATTAGGATACAAAATCAACACACAAAAATTAATAGTCTTCCTGTACACCAATAATGAATTCACTGAAAAAAAAGAAATTAGGAGAAAGATGCCATTTGCAATAACACCTAGAAAAATTAAATACTTAGAAATTAACCTAACCAAGGAGGTGGAAGACTTGTACAATGAAAACTACATACAGTACTCTGAAAAAGGAGATCAAAGGGAACATCAGAAAATGGGAAGATATCCCCTGTTCCTGGATAGGAAGAACCAATATTGTTAAAATAGCCATACTTCCAAAATAGATGTACAGATTTAATGCAATCCCAAACAAAATACCAACAGCATCCTTTGCAGAACTAGAGAAAACAATATTAAAATTCATATGGATCCAGAAGAGACCCAGAACAGCAAAAGCAATCCTGGGTAACAAAAGTAAAGCAGGAGGCATCACAACCCTATATCTGAAGTTAAATTACAAAACTACAGTGATAAAAACAGCATGGTATTGGCAAAAAACAGACACGAGGATCAGTGGAACAGAACAGAACACGTGGAAACAACCTCAAGCACATTCCACTATTTGATCTTTGACAAAAGGGCAAAAAAACATACCCTGGAGGAAAAATAGCCTCTTCAATAAATGGTGCTGGGAAAACTGGCCATCCATATTCTGAAGACTAAAACTAGACCCGTATCTCTTACCATGTACTAAACTAAAATCAAGATGGATCAAAGATTTAAATATTAAAACAGGAACAATTTGTTGAAAGATAAGATGGTAAAACACTTGAAATCATAGGCACAGGCAAGAGCTTTCTCAACAGAACTCCTGGTTGCCCAGGAGATAGCACCAAGAATCAACAAGTGGGATTATATCCAATTAAAAAGCTTTTGTACAGCAAAAGAAACAACCAACAGAGTGAAGAGACAACCTACAGAATGGGAAAAAAATTTTCCAGCTATTCCTCAGACAGAGGACTAATACCTAGAACAGGTAAAGAATTCAGTCCAGGTATGGTGGCACACACCTATGATCCCAGCACTTGGGAGGCTGAGGCATGGTTGCCTCAAGTTCAAGACCAGCCTGGGCTACACAGTGAGCTCAAGGCCAGCGTGAACTACATAGTGAGACCCTGTCTCAAAAAACCAAACAACAACAACCCACAAAAACAAAACAAAACAAAAAAACAGAACTAACAAAAAATTAGACCCCCCAAAAGACTCAATCAAAAATGGGCAAGTGAAATGAATAGACACTTCTCAGAAGAAGAAGTACAAATGGCCAATAAAAACACGAAGCAGTGTTCAACAACGCTGGCCATTAGAGAAACACAAATTAAAACACTGAGATTCCATCTTATTCCCGAAAAGAATTGCTATCACCCAGAAATCAAATAATAACAAATGCTGGTGAGGCTTCGGGGAAAAAGGGCAGAGTTTTACTTCATCCCTCTGACATCTCTCAGCATTTCCACCCTGTCCTCCCCAGCATGGTGTGAGGCAGGCACCTGAGTGTCAGTGACATTTCGTGGTATTACAGAGACACTTGGCCAATCCCTCACTGTTTGCCTCTCTGGCTCCCTGCCTCTCTGGCTCCCAGATCTGACCCTGCCTGAGCCTCGGAGTCCCTGGGTGCTGCAGAGCAGCTTTGTACATTTCAGTTCCTGCACTCTGGGTGTCTTGCTTGTCCATCTGAGTGGTCTCCATGGTGTCTCCTCTCCCATTCTCTTTGTCCTTGTTAGTTTCTACTGTTTTCCTCCTCTTTACTGATATTTTAGAGAAATTTAAAATTGATTAGAGATAGAACCACGTATTCAATGTGGCATTCTTTGTTTTTTTTTTGGTACCGGGGATTGAACTCAGGACCTTGCGCTTTCGAGGCAGGCAGCAGAACCACTGAGCTAAATCCCCGGCCCTGATGTGGCATTCTTAACAAGAAAAATCTTTTCGGAAATTTAAATTATTCATCAATCACAATAAATTTACTTTGATTGTCTTTGCTATATATTTTCATATTTATCTATATTCTTTGATCAAAGATGGGCAGAATAATACCTTTTTGATACTAATTTTTGGGATGGCTATGCCCCTTAGCAGTCACCGACCTACTGGCTCATTCTATGTTTTAAAATCCTTTCTTCCTTTCTGTAATACCATACACCCCTGGTTTCCCTTCCTCTCTTCAGATACTTCTTATTGGTCTCTTCTGCTGGTTCTGCCTTTTCCATTTGGCTGTTAATGTTGGACAGAGCTTGATCTTGGCTCCCTTCTCTTTTCTCTTGACATTCTCATCCTAGCTGTCCTTCTCTGCTGTCATGTTTAAATGCTACGAATGTGTCAGAGATTCCCAAATTGATATCTCTAGGTCACACCCGTCTTTTGGCCACCATATATCAAACATAAGCATGAAATACCTAATTGTCTATATCTCACAAGCATCTTAAATTTAACACGTTTCTGCCATCTTTATTATGTAGGCACTGGCACCTCTGTCCCTCGGGGATACCTAGGACTTATTTGCAACCACCCCTCTTCCACATCATGCCAGCATCCAGCTCCACGGCCTGCAACATTATAGCTGCCCTCAACACGCCCTTTTTCTTCATTCTGCCTACATTAGCCCCACAACCAGTCTCCTCTCTTGCTGCAAACCACATTACACATCTTTCCATTTTCACAGCCACCAGCCTTGTTTAGGACGAAAGAAAGTCAACTGGTGAAAAGTAGGTTCCTGGGATGCCCGAGACCCAGAGAGGCAGAATTCCAAGGACCTCTCTGAGTGTAAGCTGTCTAGGTTCCCTGCAGTGCTGAGTCCCACTTGACTGGAGGTCAGTTTGGCTTCTGTTTCCCACTGCAGATACAATCCCTTCTCTGCTCCTTACTCCGTCCTCACCTCTGCTTTGAATCTGCCACTTTTTGTTTGATTATTTTTGGGGTGATGGTGGCAAAATGGTTGTGGAAAAACTATCCTAAACCTGGTTTAAGATTTGGTTTCACAGATTTACAAGATTTGGCTAATTTGTCACTTGGGAAATTAAAACCTCCGCTAATTTATCATTATGGGAAATCTTTTTCTAACAAATTAAATTTTGGGAACTGGCTAGAAGGAAATAGAGTTTTGGCCAACTGACCCAGAGCTGCTCAAGGCATTGCCGGCTTTGCCTACCCTGGACCCCTGTTGGATCAGACTCTAATTGGTCTCCCCATATCCACTCTGGTGCCCCTTCCACCAGCCAAGTCCATTCCTCACTCAGTGACCTCCTCCTACCAAGAAAACCCACATAAAAGATACCTCGACAGCTTTCACTGCACTCAGAGTGAAATCCGGAAGTGGCCTGAGAAGCCTCTACAGACCTCCCCTGCCCACCTTACCAGCCGCCACCCAGCTCCCTGCCTCCTTTCTGCCAGCTCATCAACCCCACTCAACTCTCCTACTCAGCACCTTCCCCATGCCATGCCTTCTGCCTACAATGTAGTTCAAGTCTCACTTCTTCAAAGAACTTTCGGTGGCTTCTCTACCTAAATTAACTTTCCAGTTATGATTTCACAGTGTCTCATCTCTTCCTTCAAGTGTTTATAATCACAAACTTATAAATGCCTTCATTTGCCTCATATCACTCCCTGATTGGGTGGTTAGCTCTTGGGGACAAGGAAGACCAGATAGCTGCTTAGAATATATGCATTGTTCAGAAGAAGAAATGAATACTTTCTTAAGTTTATATCACATGTAAAATCACAGAGCTGCAAAGGAATTTAGTATTCCATGGTCATTTGTAATTACAACCTGGATTTAGACTAAAGCCAAGAACTTCAATAAAAACCATAACAAAATGTTGATTGAGTGACTGACTTAGCAAGAGGTGAGATACTGTAATGCCAAAGCAATGTACTGATCTATAAAACAGCTCCGCTGTTTTCTACTGTTAATATGCCTGGAAAGTTTTAAGGGTGAGGTTTTCTGAACTCCTTTAGAAAGGCAAAGGTTACTACAATGATATGATAAACACTATTAATTTGTTTTTATTCATGATAAAAAGGTCAAGAAAATGTTTGAGGAGAAGGTAGTTAGGAAAAGAAAGAAAGAAGGAAAGAAGGAAGGAAAGAATCCAGCCTTACTAACCTTGAGGAAGCTGTAGCACTCCAGTGCTTATGCCTGAAACCAAGTCACCCAACACATACTCCTTGAATTTATATGCTGGCAACCACTTTGTTATGGGCAGGAACATATAAATAATGTTTCTTATTTTTTTAGGAGTACATCTGGCAAGACAAAGAAAGAGACAGAGTTGTAAATGAGGAACATCTCTGTAGAATTCACAAGGCAGCCTCCTTCCCCCATATCCACATATGAGAAGGAAAACTTTACGACTGGTGACTCACGATGTTGCAGGGGGTAGGAGTCAGAGACGGGCAGAGACAGAGCGGCTGGAACATTCTCAGGAGCAGGAGGAAGGGGATGTTTCAGAGGTGGGTGGAGAATTAGAAAGTGGGTTGTCTATGGAAATCTTTACACAGACATGAGGCATAGTAGGAATTCAATAAACACAGTGAACTATATGAAGAAGCCTGTGTTCAGAAGATTTACACTGAATCGCTGCAGACAGCTTTGCAAACCAAAAGCATCACCATTCATCTTTTCTCCACTTCACCAACAGGCTTTCTTTGCACATTTGACCTTGTTTCTCTCATGCCAGAATGATACAATAAAGGAAAAAGCTTAAAATGCAACATACGTGAATGCCTGTTTTAGCTTATCCCCAATGGAATCCGAAACTTTGTCTTTCTCGTGTAGTCTTTCCTGGAGGACTGGATGGCTAAAAATAGGCCTTTCCACGTAGTACTTCTGAGTTGCTGCAGGGATTTCATTTTCTTCAGCATGATCCATAGTACTCCAAAATTATTCATCAACAGCAGGAGACAAGCATTTCCTGAGCGTCACTAAAGGGAGAAAATTAAAAGTCCGTTTTAGATGCCCAAATCTCACCACGACTGTTCCTAAGCCTTCCTTCCTTGTGGTACTCCAGTTCTAATGACTTCTTGGACACCCTAGAGCACCTCTCATTGTTCTGCTCATAGTAGGCACTAACAAATAGAACAAAATCAAAATCAATAGAAAATGTATATGTGATTTATTCCCTCCCAGAGCAGTAAGTGGATAATGCACATAATTTCAACAAGAGCTCATATTAAGTCCAGTGGCTAAGTAATGCAGGCAGTTGCCTTTAGCTCTATGTAAGGAGAACTGTAAGCCAGGCCTGGTGAGCAGTTGTATTATCAAGTAAACAGCGAAGGTAAAATTGGTCCTTAAATTGAACCTCAAGTTCCTTGAAGGTATATTACTCTCCTTCCCAATTCTGCTATGTTTGATTACTTCCTTACACTACTCTGTGGTCCAAGCTGAGTCTCATGTCCCCATGAAGGAAGTCCCTAGTGACTTTTGCAAAAGGTCACAAGTTCAAAACATTTGCAATATTATAATATTGTTTTAAAGTTGATTATGTTGTCAAGTGTTAGACTATTAGCATGGTTATATTTTCTCCCTTGGTTCCTAGTGAATACCAGTTACGTGAAAAGAAATAACTAAGGAATAAACTCAATCATATTTGTGCATATGGAGACATGTACAAAAATATTCACAGTAGCTTTATGATAGTAAACAATTGAAAAAAACCCAAATATCTACCTGTACACAATAAAAACTACATTTTGGTGTAATCATAAATTGAACATTATGCAGTAGTTAAAACAAAGAAATCTAAATGTATCACAATAAATCTCAAAAACTTAATTTTTGGGGGGGGGGTACCGGAGATTGAACTCGGGTCCTTGCGATTGCACAGCAGGCAGCGAAACCACTGAGCTAAATCCCCAGCCTCAAAAACTTAATTTTTAATAAAATGTAAACCATTCATAGAGCATACAATTATTTAAACTTAAAACAATTATTAAATTATTAAACAATTATTTAAATTTAAAAACTTATAATGTAACAGCCTATTCATAGTAAAAGCACAAAAGCATTTATGCCAATGGCAAACACTACAGTCAGGATGGGGTTACCTGGTCAGAAAAGGGGAAGGAAATTAGGAAATGATAGTCAGAGAGCCAGAACTAACTGTATCTGCCATGTTTTGATTACAAAAAAGAATAGGCATAAATACAGCAAAATATTAAGACTTGATCAAGCTGTGTAGTAAGAAAATCAGTGTTTATTACATGATTCTGTGTACTTATCTTTACATTTGAACTATATACCTCATAATAAAAAGGTTAGTGCACAACTAATCCCAGCTCTCCAACCAAAGGAAGGTAATGCAAAGGAGTCGGGTTTAACATGGATGTTGTGTACAAGTGTTTGATGGTGGCTACAGGATTGTGGGTTACTAGTCTTGGGTCAACACAGCTCTGTCATGGTAAAATTGAGGTTTTCACCAAGCTGAAATCACAGCTGACCTGAACTCAGCATTTGTGCAAAATAAATACCTGTATCCAAGGAGGTTGAAAATTCAAGAGCCTAGAGTTAAAGGGAATGCTAGCAACTAGGAGACCAAGTTTGGACAACAATGGTATGGAGCTCCAATACCATGAATGTTGTCACCTCTAAATCCTGTTACAGCTGAGTTGTCTGTGTAGGAAGATGTGTAGCCTTAGGGGTGAATGGGTCCTAAGGACTCTGCCCTCATAAGTGGGGTTAGATGTCCCTCTCGATAGCCTTTTTTGTCCTTCTGTCCCCTCTGCTGGATGAGGACACCTTGTTCCTTGCCCGAGTGGATGCAGTGACAAGGCACCATCGTGGAGGTGGGGACTGGGCCCCCATCTACTGTTACCTTGGCCTTGGATCCCAGTGTCAGCACTGTATGAAATGAATTTCTACTGTCCATACCTGGGCCAGGCGGTGGTGTTTCATTATAGCAGCACAAATGCCCTGAGACAGGCATGCTAAGTGTGGACAGGGAGGACTTTGCAGCAGAATCTAACAAAGATTGTGTGTCTTTTGCTTTGGATGAGCGATGCTGGTTGGCCACACCTTACGTGGCTTTTTATGGCCTTTCTAGGAGCCATCATACCGCACTGAAAAGTAGCAGGGAAAGCAACTTAAAACATCAGACATCCTTATGTTTACTGTCAGCACTACTGTCAGGATGTCCTCATTAACACACATTCATCTGAAGGCCACTGGACACCTCACTCTCCTGGAGCCTCCAAATTCCTATTTCATTCACTAAAGCAATCATCTGCGTGTTTTAAAAGCTCCCCAGGACATTCAGATGATCAGATATTTAAAATATTGACTTTCAACTTTGGCTAAACCTGAAATCACCTCAGACACTTTTGAGAAAGCATTAGAGCCTGGGGCCACCCTGAGCAGTTAGAGCACCGCACGCAGGAGTAGGGCCCTGGCATTGCCTTCTAAAGCATCCCCAGGTGTGTCTAAGAGCAGTCCAAGGTGAGAACCACTGGCTTATAACCTAAGATGGAGAAAGAGACATGGAAAAAAATAAGAAAAATCACAATTTTTTTCACTTTTAGTGGCCTAATTTTAATATTGCAGAATATTTCACATGTGTGTACACAATAGAACATATGTAAAGCATACAAAAGAATAATAATGACAATAATAATAATGCAAACACCTGTGCAATCAACATTCACCCCGTACAGAGCCTAGGAAGTCCACTTTTGTGTTCCCTCCTTTGTTCTACCCCTCTTGAGGTGACTCTATCCTGAACTGATTATCATTCTCTTAATTTTTCTCACAGATTTACAACCTTTGTACAATCTTATAGAAAAAATTGTATGTAAACCTGGACGTGGTGGCCCACACCTGTAATCCCAGCACTCAGGAGACCGAGGCAGGAGGATTGCCATGAGTTCAAGCCAGCCTGAACTACATAGTGAGACCCTGTCTCAAAAAAATAAACAAAAAACCAAAACAAAAAACAATCCCCCACAAAAAACCATATATACAAGAGTTTCTGTTCTTTACAATTTTGCCACCCGGTGAGTGAAAAATAGCATTTTGTTGTAATTTTAATTTGTATTGTAATGCACATTTCACCTTTTTACTTTTCATTGTCACAATTACAAATGAGTCTAAGCATTGTTTACTATGTCATCATGTGGTTTTTTTTAAAGCAAAAATCAGTCTCTGTCTTTCTCCATTTTGCCATAGGGCTGTTTGTTTTTTTCTTTTTGATTTATAACAATTATTTATATATTACAAAGAAACATTTAAAAACAACAGCAAATGACAGACTTTTAGGTAATTAATACTGGATCAGTGACATAACTAAACCCAGATGAGACTATTTTTAAGGTAAACTTCAAATAGATGATACAGTTTAACAAAACACACAGCATAATAAATATAACACAGTCTAAGACAATGTGCTTATGGAAAAGTACACAGCACCAGTTTGGAAGAGGAATTTCAAGTGTCAGGACACTTTCCTGCTAAAAGTGCTTCTCCGCGTTTGCCATCTTCACTGGGAACATCGGTTCTCAGTCTGGCTGCATTGGAGCCGCCTGGCCAGGTCTGAATACCGTAGATGCATGGCTCTCCTGCCAGGGATCCTGATTTAATTGGTCCGGGAAACAGGCAGGGACTGAGAGATTAAAAGCTCCCAGGTGATTCCACAGTGCAGCCAAGGTTCAAAGCACTCACTTAGCAGATGGCAAAACAAATACTGCACCTTCCCACTCCCCTGTCTACTGAGTCAGACAAACTAGGAGGAAGAAGTACACTGTGTACAGTGCGCTATATCACTGTCTTTACTTCTGCGTGTTTTTGAAATATTGAACAACAAATTACAAAAGATAAATATTTAGCCTAGGTTTCTCAAGCAAATCCAGCTTTACTGTCACAGCCGTTTCTCAGAGGGTCTAGGTCAAGAGCAAATCTCCTGGAAATTTAGATCTCAGAACATTAACGGCCTTAGGGAAGGGTTAGGTTATAGATTCTCTGTTGGGTTGTCAGAGAAAATATGTGAGGCTCGGTTAAATACGCACAGCAGGTATTCAGCACATTGTAGTGTATGTGCAGCTGGGGCAAGCACTTCAAACACATTTTAAGAAGCATAAGTATGTCCCAAACAACGCATGGGACATACTTGTATTAATGTTTTTCTTTGCCCCATCTCTAACTGGATATCCTGCATTTCTCTTCGCTAACTCTGGCCACCACAGTGCTCTTATTTTTGAGGGTATAGAATCCTGAGTATAATCTATGTCCTCCTTGAGAGATCTGCTTGGTAGCTCAGGGATGTCCCAACTAGGGAAGGAAGGAGAAGAGGGTGTGGTGGTGAAACATCCTGTTTTCATAGAATGAAATGTCCTTTAGGGGACTTATTATGCTCAACAACAACGATTAAATAATGAAATCCTTGAAGGATATCAATAACCACCTTATCAGAATAGGAGGCAAAGAAGCCAAGGGACCAACATTAGGAGATCAAATGACCAAACTCACATGGCAAACAATGAGCATCCACGGTGCTGCCTGAACTCAAGGATTACTAAGATGTAAAACTACACAAAGCCTTCCATACACTAGAAAAGTCACTTCTAAGATGGCCTAATGGGACAAACCTTCTGCTAGGTTCTCAAACAGAAGCACTAATAAAGCAAACTTGTCTAACTGTTCAAGTCCCATTTTCCACAGGTGTGAAAGAAGGGATTTAAAAATAGTTGTAACATCTTTCGTAATAAATTTCTAGATTTGAAAGTAACCTTGGAGATCACCCAACTTAACCCCATCACTCTGCAGGTGAGAAAATAGACTCATGTGTAGGTAGTAGAGGTAATGGACTTATTTCAAAGGCAAAGACATTTATAAGTGGAAGTTATATCAAAATGGTAGTAACGTTTTAAACTTCAATAATGCTTTTGTGGAAGAAGCTCCAAGAACCTTGGGCATGAGGACCAGGTTCGGGCCTGGT